CGGCGGCGTTTCCTGTGGAATATTGCCCTCTTGACTAATTGCCCTCTTGTTCATCCTCCAAGATAGATGAAAACACTTGCCCCTCTGCTCCTCTCAGCTCATAACCGTGTCTCAGGATTACCCAGTATGCCTCTCGAGTATCCCCTTATTCCTTCAATGGGATCTCATCACGTCTCGTCTCAGATGTTGCTCGACATGTTTCCGCATCACAACCGTCGCCCACTTCATCACTCGCCGCACCTCGGCTTAGGAAGCACTTCATCACGGTCGTCCACTCTGCGCAGGTCTTCCTTCTGTGTTGTGGGACTCTGGGAGGTTAACATGTCAGCTCCTCCTGTACACTTGTGTTTTCCTGAATGGTGGCAAAGCTGCTTAGTCATCTGAGCAGCCGTAGCAAATCTAACTAATGATCTGAGCTGTCAGAGATAAATTCCACCATTGGGCGCGGGGCCCTGCCACCACTGCTGCCATGGCTGGCAGCCTAGACCCCCCCTCCACCCCCCTGATGTGCTGTCTTAAGTCTGCCCTCAGTGTCTGCCTTCAACGCGGCTCAAGACGCGGCACGACTCGTCTCTTATCCGTGGAATCGCAGGTTGTTCGTCACGTGAAGAGCGTATCATGGTTTACAGAGGCCAGATGAATGTGTGTCACATTATTCACTGGTCAGAACACAGGCCTGCTGCTGTTGCTCCTCCTGCGGCGGCTGCTGCTGCTGCTGCTGCTGCTGCTGCTCCCACAGACTCACACTCTCTCTGTCTCTGTCCTGCAGGCGCTGGTCCAGTTAGTCATAGCAGTGTGAGATGACAGCCACAGACATGACATGCTGTGAATTGACAGGCCAATTCAAGATGGCCGCCTTCTACTACATGGCCGTCACACAGCAAGGCAGAGGAGAAACAATGATTGAGAATCTGCTGTGAAACAGGTTTCGGTGCTTCCTTCTTTTTTTGTTGTTGTTGTTGATTTTTTTTTATTTTTTTGTTGTTGTTGTTGATTTTTTTTATTTGTGCTCTGAACAGTTGCTGACTGCTGGAGTAAATATATGAACTAAACAGTCTCAGATGTACACACACACCTGGGGTGGACAGTAATCAATCATAACCAAGTTGACAAAGTGTCCAGCGATATGAAAGAAAAATATATTTTCATTTGTTGGTCGTTAGCATCTAAAATATTAAACAGCTACAACAATCTTAAAGATTTCTTTTTTCCTCCAATGATCTTTCCGACAGGATTATTAATAAGATATTGTAAATTTGGTCTCTGGTTTTTGTGAGGAAAGCCCAAAGAAAGCAAAGTCTCAGACTCTTCGTAGGTTGGTTTGTTTTCCTCGTAGGTCTGAGGAGGTGCGTGCAGCGAGGGGTGAAGAGAGTTTGGAGTACTTACTATGTGTGTCCCGGAGTTGTAAAGTTTAATTTAATTATTCATGTGGAAGCAGTAACATTGCTTCCCAAACTAGCAAATGAAACCCCATCTCGCCAAGGAACTCGCACAGGTCACAGCGACCAATTACTTAATGAAAATGATCAGGTTTCTGATGCAGCCCTGGCTCCGGCTCTGCTCCACATCCCTGCTTTACTTCTCAGCTATAAAAACAGTGTGCACCTCAGCTTTCTTTCTGTGTTTAGGCAGAGTGTGCCGTCGCTGCAGTTTTGAGACCCATCAAAACTCCAAATGGCTGAGACAGCTTAGGGGAAAAGGATTATTACTTATTGAGAGCAGCTAATCTATGATGTAACAGTTGGCTCTCCTTCCATCCCTGACCCCCACCCCACTCTTTGTGGCACTGAGCCTAATATCACCATGTTCTAGTTAAGTGATGGATTTAAGTGAATTGTTTTCTCATGTTATTTCATTTTAGAGTTCGGAAGCTGCGTCGATAGTCGAGGTAATGTGATGTTAGAGCCACGTACGGAGTGACAGGTTTTATCGTTGGCTATCGTGTACTGTACTCTTATACACTGTGTACATTTTTGACCACATACGTGGTGTACAGTCTACCATGTATGTCTGTCCCCACAGTGACACCCAGAGACAAGAGTCTCCTGTGGAGATACCATAGTGCATCCAAACCTGGGAACCTTGTCAAAAGAAAAAGGAAAAGAGACTAGAATATAACTTCAACACAAACAACAGTAGAGTACTTCAGAACTGGTAAAAAAAAACCTAAATGAATCCAAAGTAGCAGTTACAGATGAACTGAAATTTTATGGAAAATCTCCAAAGTTAAATTCTAATCTGCATCCATTTGAGAGATCCATTACAGTTGAAGAGATTTGAGAAAATGATCTCAGAGAGCACAGGAAAATTGAAAACAATCCAAGGCTGCTGTGTGTTTCATAGCAAAAGGTAGATGGATAGATAGATAGATAGATAGATAGATAGATAGATAGATAGATAGATAGATAGATAGATAGATAGAGAGACTACGCAGAGATTGTTTCAGCACCATGGACAGAGTCGCGTCGTGTTTGACACTGTCGTTGGTTGCTGCTCTATCTTTTCACTGATTATATGTAAGAGCAACACACACTCACAGAGACACACACACACGCACACGCACACACCCCACACAGAGTGTGTTTGCGGCACTCATTCTAAATATTTCTGCCCGGTAATGCGAGACCAGGCATATTCTAATCAATTATTAAATACCAGACTGCGAGACATAGGCTGCGTGGCATGAGGTAATCGTCACAGCTCGGTTCTGTGGGCCAACAAGTGGAAACGTGTTTTGGAAATTGAGCCTCATTATGACTCGTTGCTTTTATTATTGTGGAAATGCGGAGACGACGGTAACGTGGAAACACGAAAAGAGAATAAATGAGTCCCAGTGACAATGAGATGGGGTTTATTACAGGCTTTTCTGGTGGGTCTGTGGATGTGTTTGGATGACGTAGCAGTAAAAGTGATTTCTGATTTCGCAGCGTGGTTGTGACAACACTGACAAAGTCGATCCACTGGCTGCAAAGTGGATTAAGATAATCGAGCATGTGATGTGGATTCGAACACCTTTGCACATCTAAGTGCTCGCCGCGTTATAACACAGTGATCGATCCGCTGCAACCTGTGCGCATTGAGCAGGCAATGGGGCGACATTCAGTCGAAGGCGGGTGTTTTGGCTGAACAGTGACGTTTTAAGGCAGGTCCTGGTCAAACCTTCCAATGATACAAGTCGGTCCTATTCTGCTGGGACCGATCGCAATGAACGGGTGTCGGAGCTGTGCACGGCAAAGGAGCAACCACAGCGAGACGAGGCGATCAAGGGGATGCGGCATCGGTACGCTGGGGCTGTCTATCAGCACCAAGCCCCCGAAGAAAACCAAGGAAGCAGCAGGCAGAGCCGAGACCCAGACGCTCCTGTCTTCAGCCTGCCACCCCCGCCCTCTGCTCACCACCGAGACCGCACTTCCAACACCGCCGCTCAGCGCCAGAGTCTCCAGGAGCTCCCCTGTCTGAGCCTGCCCACCCGGGGACCTTTACACAGCGGCGACCCTCTACCTCTGGCGAGCAACGACACCGCCCAGCGACCTTCTCACCGAGCCAGTGAACTCAACACCGGGCAGCCGGCGCACCTGCGGCAGGATCCCCGGGCCCCGACCCGCCCCCAGCATCATC